TGGATTTGAAGTTGTTTAAGCTTCAGCACTTTTGGGTCATGTTTTGTAATCGAGTGACTATTCTTTAATTAATTACTTAACAAGTCAGCAGTAAAAAAGAAAATACAATAATTAAAGAAAATATGTAAATAAAAATATTAATTTTATATTTTATAGTTAAAAATATTGATTATATTAATTTTAAATAAAAATATCAATTTTTAATTTTTTTATTTAAAAATATTAACTTTTAATTTTTTTATTTAAAAGTATCAACCTTCAATTTTTTTATTTAAATATATTAAATATTTTAGTTAAAAAGTCCATTCTCCGCATCAATACTATCATCAAATTAATATTTAAATAAAAAAATAAAAAATTAATATCTATAAATAAAAATGATTAAAAATTGATATTTTTAAATAAAAAAATTAAAAGTTGATATTTTTAATTAAAAATTAATAAAATTAACATTTTTAAATTAAAAAAAGTAAAGTTGACATCCTAATTTGAACCTTTTCTCTTTATTAACTTGACTAATCCTTAATTAATTATTTGAAGTTGATTTTTTTTTTTTTACCTTGGCAAATGACTTCTTTCAAATTAGGAAATATGTTTTGAATATATTTTTTTTAAAATCTTGGACTTTATGATAAGAGATAACTATTTCCAATCTCTTAATTTGTCTTATACTGTGTTATATAGTTCGAATTTAAAATCTTTTATTTACATAAAAGATATTATCAATAAACTACTTAGATAGTTGACAATTTTGAATAGCTATTAACCTCATGTTCCATTGATTGCAGTTACTCTTACCTTATTCCTCAACTATTTATTTATGATATGCAACTAAAACAAGTTCTTTCTAAGGATAAGAAAGGGGTTTTAGTGTGGTGGCAACTCTTATATTTACTAATGGGTTTCATCTATTGGTTCTTAAAAGTTTAAATTTACATTGTTAGTAGTAGTTAGTCATCATACTTAAATACCAATCACACTCACAGTTGTCACACTTTCATTCCATCTAGTGTGTAATTTGGGGTGTTACAATCTCTCATAATTAGAATAAGACCCACTAAATCTCAAGTACATGATCTATGTCAAGTGATGTAAGATTCACATTATCATATTATAATCAGTATGAGCCTACACTTGTAAGATATGACTACTTTAATACCAGCTAAAATGACTCATAGTTGAAACTTGTTATTAGCCTAATAATTTTTTGAATCAAGATTTGTGAGTCCTCAAAATTTAAACTTAAGCTATAAGTAGTGATTGATTTTCATAGTTATATAATAATTACAGTTATAGTTTCATATCCCAATATGAGATTCAATAACTTACATTTCACCCAAAATGAAAGAAAAGATAGTCCCAATATGAGATTCAATACCTTACATTTTACCTAGAATGAAAGAAAAGATACGCAATCTATCTTTTAGAGCCATTACCCCACTAAAACAAATATTCTTGTAATAGACGTTCTTCCTAATTACTTCTATTCTCTTGCCAGATCAGGCTACTAATAAAGATGTTCATTTCTTATAATATCCCATTAGGGAGGTGAAAATAGAGGAAGAGGTCAGATATATCTTGATGGAAATAAAAGTAATAATACAGTTTATAATGCTCTGTCAACAAGTATCGTGAGCAAAATCATAGAAAAAGAAAAAGGAGGATACGAAATAACCATAACGGATGCAATGACCATCATTATGTTATCTATTTTGATGCATTGACAAGAAAATAATCATTCTGCATATGAGCCATTTTGCATTGAAGTCTATTTCAGCTTTATATCTACAAAAGTTCTTTTTAATTAATTGGAGTAGAGTTGCTTCGTGAGATCATTTTAATAAAAAAATTTCTCTAGCTCCTATAATTTGGTGTGTGGAGTAGAAGGACGAGGAGTAATACGATATGCTAAATATAGATTTATCAACATAAGTGATAAGTTAATTTCACTCTACTAAAAATAATTATCATTCCAACTAATGTAGTGATGAAATTTTTTTGTAGACTAATTAGCATCAAATATTATTATTTCTAATTTTATTTAAATAATTGAAATTAAAGGATTTGAATTAATTAATTAACTAGACTTATTAAAACACTAGGAACAAAGAAGATATCCTGTAGGAATTGGAGCAATTAGAGGAGAGAGACATGCAATCAAAGAAGCCCAATAAATAGAAGCACAATTGTGAAGGGGAAGGTACGGTTTCATGATCCTAATGTCTTATAATGTTAGAGGAATAGGGTGTGGATGGAAGCGGAGGGAGATCAGGAAGTTGGTGGGAAAGGAGAAGGTTGATTTTGTAATGTTGTTGGAAACAAAGTTGGGTAGTGTAGATAGAGGAATTTGTAGAGAGATATGGGGTACCGAAAATTGTGAATGGGTAGTTAAGGACGTTGAAGGTAATGCAAGGGAGCCTTTTATGTTTATGGAATTGTGATATTTTCATATTAGAGAAATCATTCCAAGGCCTTGGTTTCTTGGGGGTATACGGTTATTGGGGTGCTGAGAGAGTCCCTTGCTACATTATAAACGTGTACTCCCCTTGTGATAGTAAAAGCAAGAAAGACCTGTGGAGCAATTTGAGCAGCATTGTTAGTAATAATTTAAGGGTTGTGTGTGTAGGGGAAGATTTTAATGTCACTGTTTCACAAGAAGAAAGACGAGAGTGTCGAGGTATTCACAAGGAGATGGAGGGGTTTGAAGAGTTTATAGCAACAATAAAGTTAATTAATTTACCAATGATTGAGAGAAGGTTTACCTAGTACCAACTGAATGGGAAAGCTATAAGTCACCTAGACAGATTCTTACTAAATGAGAAGTGGCTAGCAACATGGGATTGTATGAAGCAGTGGGGTTTAAAAAGAAGCATTTCAAATCACTGCCCAGTGTTATTGAAAAATGAGGTGAAGGATTGGGGCCCAAAACGATTTAGATTCTTCAATGCTTGGCTAAGACACCCAGAATTCAGAGAAAAGGTAGCAGAAGTGTGGCGAATAGTGGAGGTTCAAGGATGGCGCGGGTTTGTTCTCAAGGACAAACTAAAAGCAACTAAAGTATTTTTGAAGAAATGGAGTGTAGAGAATTTTAGTGAGTTGGACAAAGATATAGAAGAATGTAAGGACTTGATTTATGAATTAGATATTAAAGGTGAGGTCCATACATTGACCACAGAAGAAATGGAGTTGAAGAGGAGAAACACAGTGGATCTATGGCAGAAGCTGCAAACCAAAGAGTGCATGATGAGGCCAAAAGCAAGAGCACAATGGCTTAAATTCGAGGATGAAAACTCAAAATTCTTTCACTAATGCATCAAAGGTAAATGGCATAGAAATGAAATAAATTACTTAGAGGTGGGAGGCAAACAATTGATGGATATTGCAGAATTGAAGAAGGGTGTTGTAGAGTATTTTCAAGAACTGTTCATAGAAGATGAATGGGAAAAACCAAGATTGGAGGGAATTGAATTTAAGAAGGTGACAACCGAACAAAATGTCATGTTTTCACAATTCATAGAAAAAGAGATAAAGGAGGTAGTATGGGATTGTGATAGCTACAAGGCCTCTGGTCTAGATGGGTTCAACTTTGGGTTCATGAAAGTAATGTGGGAAATAGTGAAGGATGATGTAATAAACTCTGTTGAGGATTTTCAAAAGAATGGAAGGTTAGTGAGAGGTTCAAATGCTTCCTTCGTTGTTTTAATACCAAAAAAGGAGAATCCAGTAAGAATTGAGGACAATAGGCCCATCTCTTTAATTGGTTCCATGTATAAAATCATTGCAAAATTATTAGCAAACAGAATGAAGTGATTGAGGGTTTGATAAGTGAACATTAGTCGACATTCATACATGGGAGACAGCTAATGAACAGTTTAGTAGTGGCTAATGAAACCATTGATGAGATTAAAAAGAAAAGGCAAAAGAGCTTCATCTTCAAAATTGACTTTGAGAAGGCTTATGACAAGGTCTCTTGGGATTTTTTAGAATACATGATGAGGCGTATGGGCTTTTATGATGTTTGGATAAAATGGATTATGGAGTGTCTACGATCAAGCACAATGTCAGTTTTATTGAATGGCAGTCCAACAAACAAATTCAGAGTGAGCAAGGGTCTGGGACAAGGTGATCTGCTCTCACCCTTCTTGTTCCTCATCATTGTAGAGGGCCTTTTGGGGCTAATAGTTGCAGCTGAAATAAAAGAACTATACAAAGGAGTTACAGTGGGTCAAAAGGGATTGAGAATATCTCATCTTCAATTTGCGAATGACACTATCCTGTTTGGAAAGGCTACGGAATGAAACCTCAAGGCAGTTAAAAGCATTTTGAGGATCTTTGAAATGGCTTCTGAACTCAAGATCAACTACAACAAGAGCAAGATGTATGGAATGAATATGGGAGAGGAAAAGTTACAATGGTGGGTTGCTTTCCTAAATTGTAAAAATGACAAACTACCCATGACTTATTTGGGAATGCCAATTGAAGCCAAGTTGAGGAGCAAAGATACATAGGCTGAACTAGTAAACAAAATTGGGAGGAAGTTCTTTGGTTGGAAAAACAGGTTCTTATCCTTGGGGGGGGGTGTATTGTTCTCATTAATTCCGTGATGACTAGTCTTTCTATCTTTCTTATGTCTACTTATCTCTTACCTGCTGGAGTGATAAAGAAAATTGTTGCTATTAGGAGAACTTTTTATGGGGAGGGTGTGAAGAAAGAAATAAGATTGCATGGGTTAGGTCAGAAAAAGTTTGTAAGGTCAGAAAAAGTTTGTAAGGATAGAAAACTGGGGGGATGGGAATTAAGGACCTCAAGATGTTTAATATTGCATTGCTAGGGAAATGGAGGGGGAGATTAGCAAATGAGAAATCAAGATTATGGAGTAGGGTGCTCAAAGAAAAATATACAGGGGAGGGAGTAAGTTGGTTGAAATGGATGAAAGGAGGGCAGGAGAGGGGATCTAGGTGGTGGAAGGACATTTGTAAAGTAAATGAGATGGTTAAGGGGAAACGGGATTGGATCAAATTGGGTTTTGAAATGTAAATAAGGGGAGAGCACAAAGGTTTCTTTCTGGAAGGATAGTAGGGCAGAACATTGTAGTTTAGATGAATTGTTTCCTCATTTATTTTCTCTTTCCATAGATCCTCAAAGCACCGTGCAACAAATGGGAGAGTGAGATAATGAAGCATGGAGATGGAGGCTAAAATGGAGAAGCAAAACTTCAAAACATAATCGACAATGTGCAACTTCGAAGAGATGTTAAAGACAGATGGTGATGGAGACACAGAAAGGATGGCAAATACACAGTACAATTAGCATACAAGTTATTAACAGCAACAACAGATGGAGACATGGACAAAAATCTCAAAAGCTACTGGAACCTGATAATTCCTATAAAGATTTGTGCTTTTAATTAGCTATCAATGGAGGGACGTACACCTTGCAAGGAAAACTTATTGAAAAGAAATGTTATTAAGCAACAATTAGATGCCATGTGCAGCTTATGCGGGGCAACAACAGAAAACGAGAATCACTACTGCTATAGTGTGAGTTTTCAACAAAAAATATGGAACAAAAATTATGCATGGTGGGGTTTCACACATGTGATGCCCAAAAATTATAAGAAGGCTTACTTTCAACACGCCTAGGTAGGTAGAAATCAAAAAGGTTGGTAGGTGGTGTGGTTTGCCACAATATGGGCTTTATGGCTAGCACGAAATCGTAAGACTTTCCAAGCAAAACAGGTGTCAATTGATGAGGTGTTTGAAATGATACAGTGTAGTTCATATTGCTGGATTAAGAGCAGAATTGATGGCTAGTCATATGCTTACTCAAATTGGTGTAGTAATCCTAACAGTTGCAAGGGCATAAAGTTTCAACTTTAACGAACATAGAAACATAGAGGGTGAATAGGCACCAAGAGTGATGATTGTAATGTTTACACTACTGATGTTTACGGGTAAAGTACCCCTTGTACTCTTAAATAGAATAAATAAATGACTTTCCTTGGCTTTTCAAAAAAAAAAAAAAACTTATTAAAACACTAATTTATTTTATTGAGAATATAATTGTATTAATAATTGAACTAATTACAATGCAGGCTATATTATTGTCATTTAGGCTAAGCATGAAAGGAAAAAGCATTAGAAAAGACCTATGAAATTAATATAAAGAGCTAATGTTCTTGACAAATAAGATATTTAAATACTAAAAACCTTTGAATACTAGCATACATCATAGGCGTATCAGTTATACTATGAAAAGACATAAAGAGGTTACTTTGAAACTTTGTTATCACTATGCTAGTAATCACTTGTACTCATACCTTCCATTGTCAGCAAAGGAGATTAGAAGGCATGGCAATGTATAGTATCTCCCATCACTAAAATTGCTTTGCCACGGTTTCCAATGCTGCTCCTCATCCATAGATGGATAAAAAACATCTATCCGCATAGCCATAGCAATTCCCGAGCCATCCAAAACTCACCTTAGGTTGTGCATGGTTTCCCAGGTTAAGGAATTGGAATTGTACCTTTCATAGTTGGATTCATCTAAGAAGGGAGCCAAGATCCTTTGCTTCCTTCATAGGAAAAGCCACCCACCTCTTACAATTGCTATTTTGGCCTTGCATCGCCGCCAATGGGTTATGAGAAGAGGGAGATTGCAATGCACAAAGAAGAAGAAGCTGGTGGGATCAAGCCAAGTTGCAGTTGGTGTGCAGTTTAGAAGAGGGGATGTAGAGAAGAAGTGAAAGAAGGGAGGAGGCTCATACCTTGAAAACCCTACAGAGTGAGTCTTACCTAATCTTACCTAAGAAGAAAAATTAATGAGGAATTTTTTTAATTAAAACAATAAACTACTTTTAGAGAAACCAAGATTTGACATTCTTAGGCATCTGATTTTATTAAAATCAACTAATTTAGAACTCAGATTAATATACTTTCGAAATATTTACTATTTATGTGTCAATTTTTTTACTTATTTGATATATTTTCTCAAGTTTTATCCCAAATTTGGCCTCATCTATTAACCCACTATATCTTTATATAAGTTTAAATGGATAAAAAGGCATTATACTTTATGAAACTCTTTACCTTTGTGTAGAATCTTTCAAGCGCACTTATCACTAATGTTACATAAGTTATGTTGGTCAATCTCTAACTTTTTCTTAATTTATAGTGTATATTACTAGATGCTATTAGATAAAATCTCCTCTCAGTTTCAAATATGTTTTCCAAATAAATTTTTGGAGAATAAATGGTACATCACATTTATCAACAACCAACGGTTCAATTCAAATTCGCAATTTTAAGTTTTTCTACTTTTAATTCCAAACAAAAAAAATAAATTTTTAATAAATGTGTGGTAAAATATGTTAAACTAAAAAGTATTTGTATCAATATCTTAAATATGATCTCTATGTGAAATAGTAAGCACTGAAAGTATAAAAATTATAGCTTTCTACATTAAATTAACTATGTTACAAGATAACTTTACATGACTAAATTAATTTATAATTAAATAAAATATTCTATGATAAATATAATAGTATTTGACATCATAAAGAAAAAATTTAAAAACAAATAAAATTAATTTAATAATATATTAAAATCTCAAATTTTAATTTTCTTTTGATGTTAATTTCTTAGTTGTCACCTCTCTTTCAATCTTCAAAAAGCCCTTGGAACCTTGACTTGAATAAGTATTTATAGAGATTAAGAAAAATCTTCAAAAAGCCATCGGAACCTTGACTTGAATAAGTATTTATAGAGATTAAG